ATGCGGGACTCGATCCAGGGACTCCAGGATCATGACCTGAGCCGAAGGCAGTCGCTTAACCAACTGAGCCACCCAGGCGCCCACAGATGAATACTATTAATTCTTCTCTTTAAATTATATGTGCTTATCCTTTGGACAGTATTTTTCTTCATTTTATTTGGATAGTAAAAGATTATTTTGAAAATTTCTGTTAACTGAGAGTTCCTCTTCTAGCACATTCTCAGTCATCAGTTGTAGAAATGCTCTTCTACAATAGCAGTTTTAATTAAGAATTGTTAGAATTTTGGTATTAAGGCTCTCCCAGTGCCACTAATTAATGATAACAGTTGTTTGGAATGAAAAAAATACTGTCCTTTAAACAGTTATTTGTTTAAAGAATTATTTGACAAAATATATCCAAAGGAAACTTCATTCTGTAATACAGAACTACATTTAATAATAAGTGATATTTTATTTTTCTGTTTGTTTATTTAAAGATTTATTTATTTGAGAGAGCTCGCTCGCATGTACGAGTTGGGTGAGGGGCAGAGGGAGAGAGAAAGAATTTCCAGCAGACTCCTTGCTAAGTGCAGAGCTCGCCACAGGGCTCCATCTCACAACCCTGAGATCATGACCTGAGCCGAAATCAAGAGTCGGATGCTTAACTGACTGAGTCACCCAGAGGCCCCCAAAAGTGGTATTTTAGAAGACAAAGAAACCTCAATTCACACCTCATTTTTGTAGTTAATAGTATAAACTGAAATGATTTTTCCTCAAGATATTAGGAAAGCCCTTATTTGTAAGTTGGAGAAATCTTAAAATAACTTCTTATGTAAGAAATAGAATGTATTTTGCAAGCTTGGGATCAGTGAGTTCTTATGTAATATTAAGGGAGCTTATATAAAATAAAACTGAAACAGACTCAAATACAGAGAACAAATATGGTTGCCAGAGGGGTTCTGGTTGGGTACAGTAGGTGAAGGGGATTAAGAGGTACAAACTTCCGGTTATAGATGAGTCACGGGGATATAAAGTACAGCACAGGGAATATGCTCAATAATACTGTAATACCTTTGTAGGGTGACAGATGCTAACTGTATTTATCACGGTAATAACCATTTTGTAAATGTATATAAATGTCAAATTGCTAGGTTGTACACTGAAAACTAATATAATACTGTATATGAACTATACATCAAGTAATTCTACATGATAGAACTCTACATTCTATACAAAGAAGAATACTAAATTCTTCAAGAATTTCTACATGATACATCAAGTCATAAAATTGCTTTTTAAAATAACTTCATTTTCATTTATTTAATCTCATTTTGTATCTTGATTTATGTCTTCTGTACATCTTGGTTTATAATATTAATTGTATTTTAAAATAATAAATTTCCATTTCTTCAAGAACATTTCTTACTGAAACATGTAGTGAGTGTCTCTTTATAGAACCGAGAAGGGCTTATGTTCTTACTCAGAGACGACCAGAATTCTGGAACATTGGCCCAGTAGACGTCTTTGATCTAGATTCATTAGTAATCATGAAAGGGAAATCATTGAAGGATAAGGTTGTTATCCACCAAAACTCTAGATTTAATGCTCCCAAATTGCTCCTCTAATTTTAGTAGATTATGGCAGCTTTTATTTAAACTGCATCTTCTTTTGTTTCTCCTTCGGCAGGGAGGGAGAAGGCTTCAACTCAGGGGTATAATTTGATGTCTTGCACTTTTTCAAATGTCTCACAGTTATGCTAAGAAAGAATCAGATCTTAATGGGGCCCAGATGAAGCTTCGAGAATATGAAGCCGCACTGAATTCTAAAGATGCAGCTCTGGCCACTGCCCTTGGTGACAAAAAAAGTTTAGAGGGAGATTTGGAGGATCTGAAGGATCAGATTGCCCAGGTAAGGCAAACTCTGGTATTGAGCCGTGTTGGGAGGTTAATTGCCCCATCTAACTGGGTCGATTGATAGTCTTGAGGCAGTCTTGAGGATAGTCTTGAGGCAGTAACATGCAAAGCATCTTCACCTCTCAGTCATTTTATCTGGGTCATGCAGATCTTACTGCTGCTCTTCCTTTCTCTTGTGTTTACGCTCATTCTGTCTTCCTCTCAAAACCTATTTCTTTACTGTACCAAAATGTAAGAAAAGAAAGGAAAAGAAAAAGTCATACCATTGCTCTACATACAGGAAAAAATGAAAGTGGTAGCTAAAATCCTTGGTGGGTCTTTATTCATTACCTGTTGCCATTTACCAGATCTGAGAGGTGTTTTCGTATGGCACTCTTGGTGGGACCAGCATTTGGACACACAGTTCTGTGATAGAGATTGTAATAAGAGACTCTCATACACTGATAAAAGAAACAAGATAAAAGATACCAAAATTTTAATTCTTGATTTGATTCAGTCCATAGGTGTCTCTTAAATTCATTACTAAATAACTGCTATGTGATTTTTATCAATTCTTTCTCCGCATATTAGTTGGAAGCCTCCTTAGCTGCTGCCAAAAAACAGTTAGCAGACGAAACTTTACTTAAAGTGGATTTAGAGAATCGCTGTCAGAGCCTTACCGAGGACCTGGAGTTCCGTAAAAACATGTATGAGGAGGTAACTATATAATTTTACTTTTTTAAGGAGTGGAGGGATCCTAAGTGCTTTGTTATAACTATGTATGTAAAAAATGGGAGAAATTTTATAGGTAAATTATTCAAGGTACTGCTGCTAAAAGGTTGTATACAGAACTCAGGCTCTTAAACAGATATGATTTCACTTTATCTAATTTGTAAGGGCTTGGTCCTAGCAGTTAATTACTCTCAACCTGCTTGAGCATTTGTATTAGTTGTCTATTGCTGCCTAATAAATTACTCTAAAATTTACCAACTTAAAACCACAAATCTTTATTATCTCACAATTTCTGAAGGTCGGGAATCTGAGAGCTGCCTAACTGCATGGATATGTTTTAAGGTCTCTCATGAGGTTGCAGTCAGTTTTTCAACCTGGACTGGAAGAACTGCCTCTGAGCTCATTCACAGGTTGTTGGTATGAAGAATCAGTTCATCGTAGGCTTCTCCATGGGGCTGCTCATGGTACGGTTTTCCCGAAAAATGAGTGGTGAGAGAGAGAGAACACAAGACAGAAGCTTCATTACCTTCTCTAACCTTTCTAACCCCAGAAGGGATGTACTGGCACTCTCTGTCACGCAGACCAGCCGTGATGCACTGGGGGAGGGGATTCTACAAGGGCGTGGCTGTCAGGAGGCAGCCATGATTGGGGGCCACCTTGAAGGCAGGCTGCCCACAGCATTTCTGGTTACATGTGTATATTTTAAAATATCATTCACATGCCTTAGCCTCTGTGGTCAAGCCTTGGCAGGTAGCAACTGTTGCCAAAAAACAAGTAATAAAATTGAAGAAAGGGGAATGTATATTTTCTCAAGATTGAAGAGGATTGGAATTAACCCAGGGTATGGAACCTGCAGTTAAATACTTAATGATTTTAGAAGTAATATAATTTTGAAAACAGCAACTAACAATGATTTAAAAAATGGGGAATTATTATAGAACTTAAAATTTTTTTTGTTAATTGGAGAAAAAATAATAAAATAGAAATTTGACTATTTTTATAACTACATGCTATTAAAACATGTAGGTATTGGGGCATAGTGCACTCACTGGACAAACAGACTTTGGACAACTCTCGAGTCATTTATTTAAAAATGAAATAACCAATACCTGCTCTTCTCTCTTGGAGGAGTGGTGATGATCAAAGTGGAATATTTTGTGCAGAAGTTCCTTGAAGTGTAGTGAATGCTATCACATAATTGTTAACTACAGTTTTGCTTTATAAATGGAGACATTTTTATATTAAGTTGACTTACATTTTTGTTTTGTTTTGATAAAATTGCCTGTGATATATCATTACTTAGTTTTTATGCTATGTGTGGACTCCTGTATCTTTAAACCAAGTGTAGGGTATTTTTTTGTTTGCAAGTCACTGATTATATATAAAGTAATAAAAATGGCACCAGCAAAAAGTAATTGAATATTTTTAGGTTGCGTAGCATCTTTGAATATTTTGGTGTTTGCCTTTTTGAGAATGAACTTAAAATAGTCCTCTTTTTTTTTTTTAACATAGAGGATATGATTCTCTTCAATAAATATACTTCAGTTCCTTAATATGAACAGTTAAGGGGGTGAGAAAGAGGAAGAAGAAAGGAAGAGGAGGAAAAGAGGTAGACAAAGGGCAAAATCATTACTAGGTGCTCAGTATTTGTTGAAATAAACCTTTTATTTGCATGATTTACATGTCATTTGCTTCATTAAATATCTGTGAGCCCTGGGAGATTAGTAACAGAACTGGAATTTGAACCCTGGTTTTTGGATTCTGTCAAGTGCATTTTCCTCTGCAATGAGCAGTTAAAAGAAAGATGAGGAATGCCTAGGGAGCCATATGCAGGAAGAGGATGCAGAAACAAACGTCAGTGGGTTATATCCCCCTCTTGTGGGCTCTTTAATTATTGCCATTAAAGACATGTATTTTCAGAGCTAGAAGCTGGAATGGAAATTTTACTCTTGGACTTGTGTTCCTAGCCATTTTAGTTTGGGTAGTTTCTTAAAACATAAATTGAAGGATTATGCCTACTATTTCTGTTCTTTAATAGTGAATGGTCTTATGTACTTAAGAGAGTAGAGTAATATTGGTAATAAGTTTTCATATCAATTGATATTGATACCTTAGCACCAGCTGTTAAAATACTGCACATAAATTAGCTTGCCTTGCCTTTTGCATCTTAGTATGTTTAAGAAAATAGTTTTATTAAGCATAAATCTTCTAGTTAGTTGTCCTGAGTGGCAAGTTTAACTTTTCATGGGCATTTTTTTCCAGAGACATCCTTGGGATCATCGTTAACACCAGTTTAGAAAAACGACGACTGTTCAGTGTACATAGTTATCCATGATTTCATGGTACTTCTATGAGGCTTCCAGGCCTTGTCTTGAGAGAAATACGTAGCTATGCCGCTGATAAGAAACAAAAATCTTAGGGCTTTAGGTGCTACCCCCACTTCTGTCCTTGCTTCCATCTCAGAAACCTTCTCATTTGGGGGCGCCTGGGTGGCTCAGTTGGTTAAGCGACTGCCTTCGGCTCAGGTCATGATCCTGGAGTCCCGGGATCGAGTCCCGCATCAGGCTCTCTGCTCGGCAGGGAGTCTGCTTCTCCCTCTGACCCTCCTCCCTCTCATGCTCTCTGTCTCTCATTCTCTCTCTCAAATAAATAAATAAAATCTTTA